CCCCTCCAGTGGGTTATTTTTTAAGGCCAGTCAATGTGGGGATGACTGTTGAATTTGGGAGGCAGGAGGGAAAAAATTATTAGTATCTGAAAGCTCTTATGGTAGAAGTGTTTTCTTTATATAATTGAATTGATGTTTTATTGAAAGACACCTGGTTATGTTCCATTTAAGATGAGGACGACGACTTTATCTGTAAAAAGACAGCCTCTAAGTCAAAAGAGAATGGAGGATCTGCAAATAGTTATCTTGGAGCATCAAACGTGAACAAGAATGAAGAAAACACTAAGACCAAGAATAAGCCCTTATCACCAATAAAACTTACACCTACATCAGTGCTGGATTATTTTGGAACTAGAAGTGTCCAAAGATCAGATAAGAAGATGGTGGCAAGCAAAAGAAAAGAGGTGAGTGAGAATACAAGCAAAAATGTTCAGGATTTATACCATTCACTGGTATTTATAAGAAATTGGGATTTCTAAATGGGTCAACATGTATTAATAAAAATAATTTTCCTGTGATTATGGATAAGATGTGTTGTCCTCATAGGATGAGGAGGTTAGAACTACACATTGGGTTTTTTTGGTACTTAAAAGTGGGAAAAGATTATTTAAACCATAAGAAAAACATTTTAACCATAAGAAAAAAGTATAATTGTTAGAATTTAAATTGAATCCTCAGAAGGCAAGCTCACTTTACTCTTGAGTTCAACCTGACAAAATTAGACAATCAATTTGTTCCCAAGTGAGATTAGGAACACATCCCACATAAAGAGCACACTTGTGCTGACCTTGTCTACTTTGTGTAATGTTGGATTCATCTTTTCTGGCCACTTAGGAAACAGCTTTATAGACAGATTATAGTGAGAGTAGTCTGCTGAAACAGTGAAATAACGCCTGCCAAATGGTGTGGCTGATTCCGTCAGTGCTTTCCCAGGACACTCTGAGCATTTTCACATACTAGTTTGCAGATGTTCTGTACTGCTTGTCGAGCCAAGACATTAATCTGCAGGGTTGTTACTTTTTTTTTTTTTGGGTGGGGAGTACTTCTCTTCAACATACCAGTTGAGCTAAATGGGAACTGTCTATAGGATATTTCTTGACTAGGGAATTGTATGTGGTCTTGGAAGTAGCTCATAAACCTGAATTTCTGGCTGGTGTGTTATTAGATAAGTGTGCTATTAGACACTTATCTCTTAGCATAAAACTATGCTAGGATAAGTGTGCTATTAGACACTTGTCTCTTTGGTATATTTAATCAGCTACAGTCAAGAAAAAGCACCGTATTTTTAACTTAAGGTTTATGCTAATCTTGCTTGCTTTTATCTGAAATACAGCCTCCAGAAAACACAGATGATTCTGGATTAAATGATGAAGCCATCGCCAAGCAGCTGCAGCTTAATGAAGATGCAGAGGTACCATTCAGCAAGTGCACACTGAGACTTAGCAGTGCCCGGCACTGTTGGTGGTGTTAGGGATACTGCAGTTAGGAGGAGGAAAAGCAAATGTCAAGTGCACTATAAGTACTCTGAAGAAAAATAAGGGGATAGATTTGGGCTGGTACGTGGTGTTATGAGCGTTTGATATTATTAAAAAGAGGAATTAGGGACGTCTCACTGAGGAAGTGGCACTGGGGGATGGCAGGTGCAAGCATCCTGAGGTAGAAATGGGCTTTATGTGTTCAGGAGACTGGCATGGCGGGAGACTAGTGATAGAGGAGGAGAGGGCTA